GAACTTGGACTTAAAGCCTCCAAATTGTAAGAATAAACTCCTGTTTGTTAAGGCCATCCCGTTTGTGGTATATTTCTTGTCAGAGCGGCACTAGGTAACTAGAACAGTTGCTGAAGTGGTCGGCTGTTGGTTTTGCCCACCAACACCTCTATCACTCTCTTCTGTTAGGAAAACCTCCCTTCGATTCTCCTTTGGGCCCCGATCCATATCCCACCCTGAGTGAGCGCCATGCTGACTATGTGCGCGGAAAAGAGTTAACATGGCAGGCCTGGGACTGCTTTCCTTAGAGGGGCTGCTTCCGTGGTTGGCTCTTGGGTGGCGTCTGGGAACTTAGATTTCCAGAGAGTTTCCACCATTCCCAGAACTGGTAGGACTGGCTCAGTATGCCTGAACTATTTGTAAACATAAAGTGGTTTATGCTGAACACCTCGCTTTCTTTCTGAGTCTGGAATTTTGGTATCTGCTAGGCAAAGGGCGCCTACATGACCAGCTTCCAGTAAAAACCCAGGGCACTGGATCTGTAATGAATTACCCGTGTAGACAAACATTGTCACTACTCATAGCTGCAGGAATTAAGCACACATTGTGCGACCTCATGGGGAGAAGACTCTGGAAACCTTGTGCTTGGTTTCCTCCAGACTTCGCTGCATGAGCCTAGTCCTTTTGCTGATTTTGCTTTGTATTTCTTTGCTGCAATAAATCTTGGCTGTACAACTGTATGCTGAGTCTTCTGAATCCTAGAGCAAATCAATGAACCTAGGAATGGTCTTGGGAACCCCCAACACATTGTGTGACCCCAACCTGACCAATCACTATTCCATCCCTAAGGACAAAGCAGTTGGTTCTGGGGTGGGCATGTGACCTAAACTGGACCAGGGAAAGATAATCCTGCTTTTTTTTTTTTTTTTTTTGTGGTTGTTGTATCACTTTCTGCTAAGGCAGCTAAGCTTGTGGGATGCAGGCCTGGAGCAGCTGGGGCGCCATCTTTGCCCCTTCATTCTGCCTAAGAATGAAGCTGATTTGGTAAACAGCAAGTCTAAGAGGCAGAAGAAGAAATTCCTGATAATACTGCCAGGGCACCTGGATCTAGCCACTCCTGAAGCTCTATCCCTGGACATTCTAGTAATATGAGCCCATAAATTCCTCTTTGCTTAAGGCAATTTTTGTTCCTGCCAATTCTTGATTCCCATCACTTGCAATCAATGGAGTCTTGATTAATACTAGTATCAAAATTATTAAGTTACACGAGAATGTTTTTGCTCCTCAAAGACTCAGCTGGCACAGAGAGACTAAGAGTTTGAAAGATTGAGACAAATACAAATCCCGAGACCAAACTGCAGAGACACAGATGAAGACAACACAGAAGGAGACAGACAAGCAGCCAGGGATGCAGGGACATTGCAACCGGAAGAACAAAACTGCAGGCTTACCCACACGCCCTGGTTCCGAGTCACGGTGACCAGCCCATCCCGGAAGAAGATGTGGGCCCAGCCCACAGCTTCAGCCTTGCCGTGGCAGGGCCTGATGTCAGTAACCACTCGGTACCAAGGACTAGTCTGCCGTCGTCTTGGGCAGAGGGAAGAGAGCTCGTAGACGCCAGGAGAGCTGACGGCTCTGCGGGCCCCATCAAAGGTGGTGAGGTTGGCGTCTGCAGAGAAGAAGCAGAGGCCACGGGGGGTCCAGCAGTTCCGGGTCCCGGCCTGGACCTCGCAGACGCGGCCTGCAGGGCAGCCAGCTGCCTGGCACGTGAGGCCGGTGCTTAGGGAGCAGGAACAGCGCTCACTGCAGTCTGAAGTGAGCAGGGAGGAGTTCACCTGTGACAGGAAGGAACAGGTGACGGCGGTGAGGTGCACTGCAAAAATGACCACAATCCTGCTTTTCAGTGTAATGAAAGCAAGAAATAATGAAATCAAATCATCTGGCCGCTGAAGAATCTGTACCACCATGAACGATGCTACCGGGTAAGGTCTGCTCTGATTGGATGGTCAGTCAGTTGTGACCCTCAGTGCCCTCTTTGCTGACAGCTCTTTCAACTGATCCTAAATATTCCCGTGGCCTCCAGGAGTGATTTCAAACCCCAAACACCAGTACCCATGTGGAGTGATGTTGCAGCAACTCGTCTCAAGAAGTGGAGTTGAATTCCCCTCCCCCTGAATCTGATGACTGTGCTCTGGCCAATACTACACTGTATTGCAGGAGCAATGGTGTGCCAGCTTCTAGACCCCAGAGACCTTGCAGCTCCACTGTCTCTCTCTTAGAATTCTGCTCGGCCACCATAACAATTCTGGACTAGCCTGCTGGAGGACGAGAGGCCATGGCGAAGAGAAACAACTACCTCAGCTAAAACCAGCCTAGATCAGCCAGCCCTAAGCCAATCCATCCGTGATTACAGATACATGAGTGAGCCCAGGGGACAGCAGAAGAGCCGCCCAGCTGAGCCCAGCCCAAACTGCACAATCTCAGAACTGTGAACTGAGTAAGTGGTTATCCTTTCAAACCACTGAGTTTTGGGGATGTTGTTGTTATTTGCTGTCGAGTCGGCCTCGACTCATAGCGACCCCTCCTTGGGTTTCCGAGGCAGTAGCACTATGGAAGTAGGATTGCCCAACCTTCCTTCCGAGGAGTGGCTGGTGGGTTTGAACCGCCAGCCTTCTGGTTAGCAGTCAAGTGTCTTAGGCATTATGCTACCAGAGGTCCCTGTTTTGGGGATAGTTTTAATTTTTATTTATTTTTTTTAATTTTTATTGTGATTTGGATAAAAGTTTAGAGAGCAAATTCATTTTTCATACAGCAGTTCACACATGTTTCATGGTATTGACTGCAATCCCCACGATGTAACAGCTCTCTTCCCACTTCCTCCCTGTAGTTACCTCTTCCCTGTGTCCTTTCCTGTACATTCTGCCCCCTGAACAAATGCTGCCCTTCTGTTCTCCCGTGACTGGCAGTTCTAAGGAGTGATGTAAATGTTCACCCTCTATGCCTGTCTGTTGTTTGGCTGGAAGCCATAGCATAGGAGTGAGTTCAATTCCAGACCTGAAAGGTAACTAGGGGCCGCAGTCTCTGGGGTCTCATCAGGTTCTATCAGACCAGTAAACTTGGTCATTTTTATGATTTTGGGTTTCTGGTGATAGTTTTTAAGCCAGAGAAAGTTAACTGCTACGGGTAGAAGTGGGCATTGGAGATGACCCAGAGTCCTGACACCCACAGCCTCGAACCCAGGGCCTAGAAACCCAATCCTAGTAGCCTGCTTTCTCTGGTTTTCTCCCACCTGACTGGCTACTCTTTCTCCATCGTGTTGTTGGGTTCTTCCCCATCTCACAAATCCTTAACTCTATCTAGCCTAGGGCTCAGTCTCAGACCTTTCTTCACATCTACTTACATCACTACCCTCGGTGATCTCATCCAATTTCAAGAAAACTAAAAGTAGTGTGTGATCCTGGACTAGACCCTGTCCCCCCAAAAAACAAACAAACAAAAAAACCAAACACATTGCTGTCAAGTCAGTTCCAACTCATAGTGACCCTAGGACAGAGCAGAAATGCCCCATAGGGTTTCCAAGGCTGTAAATCTTTATGGAAGCAGACTGCCACATCTTTCTCCTATGGAGCAGCTGGTGGGTTCAAACCACCAACCTTCTAGTTAGCCAAGCACTTAACCACTGTGCCACCAGGGCTCCTGGCCCCTGGACCAGAGCAAGGTAAGTTGTTATAGAGGGCTTTGTTGGGACAACTGGCAAAATTTGAATAAAATCTTTAGATTATATTATTGATTAGTTTCCTGATTTTAGTAACTGTACTGTGGCCACATAAATGAATTTCCTTAGTTTTAGGAAATCCACACTGAAGTATTTACAGGTAAAGGGGATCATGTCTGTAATGTATTCTCAAATGGTTCAGAAAAAATATAAATATACAGGTAGAGCAACGGATACACAGACAGATGAATGATAGAGAAAGCAAACATGCCATAATCTCAACAATTAGAGAATCTTCCATGGGAGGCAGAAGGGCGGCATTTGCTCAGGCAGAAAGCCAGAGGGCAGGGATCCACAGGAAAGAAGGACAAGGGGAAAGCGGAAAAGGCAGGGAGGCAGTGGGAAGAGAGCTGTTACCTTGTGGGGACTGAAATCAATGTCATGAAACAAAATGTGTATGAACTGTTGAATGGAAAAACATTTGCTCTGTAAACTTTCACCCAGATCACAATAAAAAGTTAAATTACTTCAATGATTAAAATAATAAGACAATGCGAAAATCTGATGAAGGGTGTACAAGGGTTCTTTACACTATTCCTGAACTTTTAAGTCTGAATTCTTTCAAAATAAAAAGTATGAAAACTTAAAAAAAAAATGAATGAATGTAACCGACTGACTACTGTCTCTATATTAAGAGTTCCCAGCCCAGCTCTCTGTCCTGAATGCCATACTCACATATCCAAGAAAACTTCCAGCCCAGGCAGGGTCAGGCCAGGACTGGGGAGGTATGGACAGAGAGGTTGGGCTGGCATGGGGGCAACACAGAGGGCTGTGGGAACCTCAAAGAGGGGGTCTAACCCAGCCTAGAGGATCAGGAATGGCTTGCTGTAGGAAACAAGACATGAAAGATGGAGCAGAAAATTGACATAGCCTTCCCCAGAAGGGATTTCTAGTCTACTTTTCTGCTGTGTGTAAAACTGGGTGAATGAAGATGGAATGTGGAATGCCCTCTCCTTTATCCAACGAACATGTGTTTGGAGAAGCAGGATAGCCTAGTTGTTTAGGAGAGTGGGCCCAGGCTGCTGTGATGTGAATCCCAGCAGCATCATTTGCTAATGGGAACCCTTGGGTGCACATCTCAATGCCGTAATTTCTTCATTACAGAATAAAGTAAATAACAATAGTTCCTGCTCATAAGATTGTTGTGATTATTAAATAGACACTTGTCATAAACTTGGTATGTAGTAAGAGCTCAAAAAATACCATTAACAAAAATAAATCCACTATTAACAGTTATTAAATTGTGCATTCATATTAAATTAAATGATTGCTAGCTGTCCTAACTATTGTGTTGTTGTACATTGCTATCATTTTTATTGCAGGTGAGGTGAGGTGAGGTGAGGTCCTGCATTCAGTGGGAGCCTTCCGTACACAATCCCACCCGACCCTTAGACACCCAGGGTGCGATGTTGATGATCAACCCCGTTTTACAGGGGAGGAAACAGAAGCTCAGGGAGGGGACTGTGGCAGGCAGAACAATGACCTCCCAGAGTAATCAGATCCTAATTCCTAGAAGGTGTAAATGTTACCTGGTATTTCACACATGTGATTAAGCTAAGGATCTTGAGATGGGGGGTTATCCTTGTGGTGCAGTGAAAGATGTGGTATGGCTTTTCTAGCCAGTCTTTGTGACTCCCACCAGATTATTGGGAAGGACTGTGCAAATAAGGTGTATGGAACTCTAACATTGGGATTGGTTAGTTTTGTCACTCTGCTAGGCTTAAAATGAGCCCTCCCAGAGGCAGACCAGCCACTCCTCGGAAGGAAGATGGGGCAATCTATTTCTGCAGTGATACTGCCTCGGAAATGCAAGGAGGGGTCGCTATGAGTCAGGTCTGACTTGATGGCACATAACAATAACAAGAGGCAGAGAGGGGATCTCAGTGCCATCAAGAGAGAAGAGCCAGACATGGAGTGGAGTTCAGCACATCCGTGGACCTGAGATCCCTGGACTGGACCTCTGTGGCAGAGATGATGCCCAGCTGAGAGGTGGTGGCAGAGCAACCAAGAGGCCTGAGACAGAGCGGTGGGCTTTCCAGTCCACGGAGCAAGAGAGCAGAGTGCCTTTGGGCAGGAGGCTTGCTGGCACAGTGGGGTGCACCTGGGTGCACCTCTTGGCTGAGCTAAAAGAGCTTTGTAGCACTTGTCCAGCAGAGCAGAGGCCAGGCCAAGAGGCCAAGGCCCAGAGGGGCGTACCTGAGGGCACAGCAGAGGGGAGACTTCTGACTGAAGAACTGTATCCTGAGCGCATTCCCGAACTTGAGTTGTACTATAGCCTGTTACTTTCCTAATAAACCCCATAATCGTGAGTACTGTCTGTGGTTCTGTGTGGCTACTGCAACAAATTATTGAACCCAGCAGAGAAGTAGAGTGCTGTGGGATGGGATGGTTGGTGTCAGAGTTGGTGAAAACATTTGGAGGGTGGAGGTATTTTTGCTGTGACAATCATGGATGCTGGGAGAGGCAAGGAATGGACCACAGCCCTGCCAACACCTTAATTTCAGCCCACTGCTACTCATTGCACACTTCTGGTCTCCAGAACTGTGAGAGAATAAATTTATCTTGTTTTAAGCTGCCAGGTTTGTGGTAACTTGTTACGGCACCACAGGAAACTAATCCAGGGATGTCAGCCAGCACTGAGTCACACAGCTGGGACGTGGTGGCAGCTCCTCTGTTCCCATCCTGGGGAGGTCGGCACAGAAGCTCTCAGCCTCCTCCCAGCCCCCGCACCCTCCCTGCCCACCTGAAGCCCCTGCTCACCGGCAGGTACCGGCCGCCATGGGTGCAGCCGCAGTCTCTGGTGGGGATGCAAACTCCCTGGGAGAGCAGGAAGCGGTCATCACACTCACAGCCCTCGAAGCAACGGGTGGTGCAGCCTGTGAGGCCCGAGAGAGCCGCACAGGAGCCCTGGCAGGAGCGCATGCAGATGGAATAGTGGCTGTGGGCAGGGCATTGGAGAGCTGCAGAAAGAAGAGGCAGGGCAGGTCATGTCTCCATGTGACACAGGATAATTAAGAGAGAGTACTGGACTGAGGAACTCTGGTGGCTAGTGCCTGAGGCATCTGACTGCTATCCAGAAGGCTAGCAGTTCAAACCCACCAGCCTCTCCACGGAAGGAAGACTGGGCCATCTACTTCCATAAAGATTTACCGCCTCAGAAACCCAAAGGAGTCACTATGAGTTGGAACCGACTAGATGGCATTGAGTATTGAGGAGCTACTGTACACTCAGCCCTGGGTAATGCCCTGCTGGGGACAAAAGTGATGAAGACAGTCCCAAGCCTGCCCTTGTGGAGTTCCTATCCAGTGGGACAGACAGTGACAGCCCAGAGAGGTTGAGGCCATGATGGGGGCCAGGGGATGCCTCCAGGGTAACGCCTGGAGCTGAGGCTGGGTGATCAGTAGACAGTGTGGTTGTCCTAAGATGGGGACCAGGGAGGGAGACCCCGAGGATCAAGTTTGGGGTGAAACGCTGAGGTCAGCTGGGAATACAGCAGGTACAAGGACCCCTCAGGACACCCAGGGAAAAGTGTCCAGCTAGCCACTGAATCCCTGAGTCTGACAGTCAGGAGAGCTGCGATGAGGTGTAAGGTCATGGAGTGGATGGCCAGGTGGAGTCCTGCCCTGAACATTAGAGGGGACATGGCTGTGCCTGGGGGTCTGACCCAGGCTTTACTGAGTGAGCTCCTGACCTGCCTTTCCTCCCACCATGTCACCACAGAGTCTAGTACAGAGCCCTCAGGAAGGAATGAACTTAAGGCTTAAGGAGAGTGGGCCCCAGAAAGGGCAGCCAGGGAGGTAGCAGGGAAACCAGCAGGATGGGAACGGGATGAGCAAGGGCAGAAGCACTTCCGTGAGGAGGGCCTGCTCCTGAGATGAAGATGGGAGAAGGAACAGGTCAGGAGATAGCCCAGAGATGTCTGTGAACACTCACGGCAGAAGCTGTCTGTCCTCCAGGGCTTTACGGCCAAGCCAGCCGCCTGGCAGGCTGCTGTGTAGGCCGCCAGGCTGCGGCAGAGGAAGGCACTGTCGCCCTTTTGGGCGCACAGGTCGTACACACACTGGCGGAAGTACTCAGAGGGGCTCAGCGCTGTGTGGCAGCCTGCGAATGGGCCATGGGGGTCCCGCAAACGCCCGCAGGCCTTGGTGCTTTCATACGGTGCCGTCTCCTCTGCAGAGCACACAGGGCAGCGGTGGGGCCCACAGCCCTCGCCACAGCCCTGGGAGGAGCCAGGCGCCCGCCATGCAGCTCCGAAGGCTTCCACGCTGGGGGCCACGTTGCCATTGGGCAGGACAAAGTCGTCGCTCCAGTTGCCATTGAAATTGCCACAGAGGCCACAGAGCCGGCCGCGGAAGGGGCTTGGGATGGACATAAGGACGTGGGCGTCGCCATCAAAGAGCAGGCGCAGCCCTTTGGCCGTCTGCAGAACCATGTTGCGTCCTTCAGCAGTCACCCGAACGGGGCCCACAGCCACAGGCAGGGTCACAGCTTCGCCGTCCACGAAGACCTGGGTGGAAGGGTCAGGTGGGTCAGGGACTCAAAAATCCACTGGGGGGGGGGCCCTGTCCCTTCATGCCCCCAGGGTAGAGCTGTGTCTCCCTTGGATGCCCTACCATGTCCACTCAGATCTGACTGGGTCCCCTTCACACCTTCAGGGCACAGAACTGTCCCCCCTCAGATGCCCCACGGTGGGACCCCAGGGTAAAAAAGAAAAACAAAACTCACTGCCATCCATTCGATCTCAACTCACAGCAATACCTCCTTGGGTTTCCGAGGCAATGTCTCTACGGAAGTAGATTGTCCAATCTTCCTTCCGAGGAGGACTTCTGGTTAGCAGTCAAGTGCCTTGGGCACTATGCCACCAGAGCTCCAATTAAGACAGGGCAAAGACTCCCTCAGTCTCCACATCCATCCCCACAGGGCAGGGCCATGTCCTCATCAGACCTCTCAAGGTGGGGCTATGTCTTCCTCAGATGTCCTAGGCTAGGGTCATTGTCCATTCAGATTTACCAGGGCAGGACTGTGTCTCCTCTCAAACTCCCCAGAGTAGGGCTGTACCCCCTCAGACTTTCAGTTCAGGGATGTGTCCACTCACCTGCAGACCCCGAGCCAGGCTCACAACATGGCCAGCCACAGTGACCAGCAGGCGTTGGGGGTCTCCGGCTGCATCTTTCTCCAGCACAATGGCGAAGTCCTCGTCCCCAGACTGTGGACGGCAGACTCGGGCCAACACATAGGAGCAGGAGCCATGCAGGTCATAGACACGCCCATCAAGGGTGATGTAATGGATGCCCCCGCTGGCCAGGCAGCGCCCACAGCCCGTAGCATGACAGGCCTGCACGCCGTTCTCTAACCGGCACTCCTCGTAGGGCCGGCACGCTGTACCCTCATCGCAGTGGACCAGGCCGCCTGGCCCACACTCACAGCGCCGCTCGCACTCAGGCCCTGGGTAGAAGGCCTCACCCAGCGGGTAGTAGTGGCCTTCATGGAGGCAGCCACACTGGCCCACAGGGACACATGTGTCCCCACTGAGCACAAAGCCAGCATCGCAGACACAACCCTCACGGCAGGCTGGCTCACAGCCCTCTGGCGCCGAGAGGCTTGGGCAGCTCACCGGGCAGGAATTACCACAGAGCTCATAGTGGCTGTGGGCAGGGCACTGGAGGGCTGTGGGAACAAGAGAGGAATGAGCCAGGCAGGGGAAGGGGTCAGGGTGGGGTGGTGGGGCTCAAAGTGGGATTATCTGCTTGGGCGCAATTGTGTCTTCGACCAACTTGATCTACTGCGTAGGGTGAGGGGTGCAAATGGTTAAGTGCTGGACTTAAGTGCTGGGGTTGGTGGTTCAAATGCATCTGCAGGAACCTTGGGAGAGAGACTTGCTGAGCTGCTTTGGAAAGGTCACAGCTCTGAACACCCCACAGACCAGTTCTGTTCTGCACACATGGAGACACCATGAGTTGGAATCCAGTCGACAGCAACTAACAACAATCTGACTGGGTGTAGTCATGAGTGAATCTGTCCAGGGGTCTGACCTGGGTATCTGATCCAGTACATCTGACTGGAGGATTCAGTATGGGGATCTGTTGGGGGATGCATATGTAACCAGGCTGAGCGTTAATCTAATCAAGCATCTTTCTAAAGGTTGAGTGATTCTGACTGGGTGGATGTGACCATGTATGGGGATGTGACCATCTAGATCTAACCGGGATAAGGAGGCTCTAGTGGTCTCATTAGGAGCTCTGGTAGCATATGAAAGTTGGGAACCGGAGATGTGTACAGGGACGCAGTGCCTAAGGCATTTGGCAAGGTTGGTGGTTCAAACCCACCAGCCACTCTGCAGGAGGAAGATGAGGCAACCTACTTCCGTAAAGATTTACAGTCTTGGAAACCCAGTGGGAGTCGCTATGTGTCAAAATCAACTCAACGACAGTGGGTGGGTGGGTGGTGTAGTGGTTAAGGCATTTGGCTGCTAACCAAAAGCTTGGTGGTTTGAACCCATCAGCTGCTTCGTGAAAGGAAAATGGAGTGCTCTGGTTATTTAAAGATTTACAGCCTTGGAGACCCAAAGGGTTGGAATCAACTGCATGACAATGGTTTTTTTTTTTTTTTTTTGTGAGTATCCCACAGTGTGACCCTGACTGGGGCATCTGATCAGGTGCATCTGGAGGGAGAATGTGCCTGAATGTACCTGGCACACATCTGTCAGAGTCTGTCTGACATGGTTGGTACAGTATGTGACTCAGACCCCGCATCTCTGACTGGGCAAAGCTGACAGGATGAATTTGATCAACGATACCTGACCGAGGGGAACTGACCAGGACCATCCAACTATGAAGGAGCTCTGGTGGTGTAGCAGATAAGGCATCTGGCTGCTAACCAGAAGGTTATAGTTCAAACCCACCAGCAGCTCCGTGGAAGGAAGACTGGGTGATCTACTTCCGCCTTGGAAAACCAATGGGGGTCACTACTCGATGGCAATGAGTTTTCTGTTGTTGTTGTTGTTGTTGTTGATTTGACTATGAATCTGTATACAGGTAGTTAACTGGGACTATGTCAGGGTGGGGAGCCTGTCTGGTGTATCTGGCCAGGTGTGTCTCAGTGTATTGATGTCACTGAAGTTATCAAACCAATTCTATCTGATCAAGTGTATTTCGGTGTGTCATCCAGACTGGCTATATCTGATCAGGTTTGTTCCACTGTAAATCTGACCAAGTGTCTAATTGGTGAGGTCCCTGTCTGAGGTCTAGGGACCTCTGACCAGGTGCAACTCACTAGGACTGACTGGGGAGACTGTTTACTGCTCCTGTGTATTCGCTGTGTTACTTTAACAGGGTCATCCACCCAGTTTATAGACTAGGATACCTGAGCGTGTGAATCCACAAGACTGAATTGGTCCAAGGGTTCCTGATCAGGTGTCTGAGTTTTTCCCACTGGTGTACCTGGCCTGGTGTATTTCAGTGCATAGTTGCGAAGGAGTCTCTCTGACTGATACTTGGTTCAGGGGAGGCAAGGTGGACCCTAAAACTCACCGAGAGGAAAAGGCTGTTGTCTTACAGTCCTGCGAACTGAGCTGGGACCACGCCCCCTCCCGTGTGGATCATGCATGAATCAGTACTCACGGCAGAAGTCCGGCCGCCTCCACTCGCCCAGCTGGGCCCCAGCGGCCTGGCAGGCTGCCACGTAGGCGGCCACGGCAGGGCAGAGGCTTCCCGGGTGGCCCTCAGCCTGGCAGGCGTCCAGCAGGCAGGCCTGGAAGTACTGCGTGGGCGGCACAAGGTTGTGGCAGGGCGCCAGAGGGCCTTCCGGCGCCGAGATCACGCCGCAGGCGTCCGGGCCGCCGAAGGCAGCCTGCTGCTCTGGCGTACACAGTGGCGGGCACGGCCCAGGCACGCACTCTCCGCAGCCCGCGGCGCCGCCCACTTGCCAGCCTCCGGGATTCCCGTCCACAGCCTGCAGGTCGTCTGCAGGGTCCCGGTTGTAGTTCCCGCACAAGCCACAGAGGGCGCCCGCGTACGCCGCTGGCACACGCAGGCGCACGAAGCTGTTCCCGTCGAAAGCCAGCGAGATCCCGGTGGCGGTGGTCACTACTACGTCTGCGCCGCTCAGGTAAGCGCGCAGGCGCGAATCCAGCTGGAAGGGCAGTGCCACGAGCTTGCCGTCCACCTGCGGGCGCGGGCGGGACAGAATGAGCCTCAGGGCTACGGAGTTGAATCCTGGCTCCAACACTTAATAGCTGAGGGACCTTCCCTCTTGAAACAATTATTATTATAGTGATAGTAACAAGAACTACAGCATAACTACAAATGATAATTACAGTATCCATAAGAAGCTCTTACATTCTCAGCTGAGCCTAACTGTGGTCACTTACAATATCTGCTCTGGTAGTTAGTAATGACAATCCTAAGTATGGTAATAAAAATAGTGATTACACAACCGAACGGTTTGTCTCTCATGGACCCCACGGTGAACACTTATGGATACAATGTCACTGGTTCCTCACACTCTCCTCGGAAGCGAATACTTTTCTCAGATCCATTTTACAAAGGAATAAATAAGGCTCAGAGAGGGCAAAGCCACAGCTCCAAGCCATCAGGCTCTAAAGTCTGAGCTCTGTGCCCCTTCACCATGCCGGTGCCCAGCATTAAGTGGTGAAAGGGGCTGGGGGAATGGCAGCCCCAGGGCTGGCCCGCAGCCCTCCTCACCTGCAGCTGCCGCGGCCACTGGGCGCTGAGGGTCAGGCTGTGGTCGTAGATGTGCAGGGTGACACTGCGGGTGTAGCTGACCACCTGGCTGCCTCGGTGCTCATTGGTTACAGTGACAGTGAAGTTCTCAGCCCCCTTGGGTGGCGTCTGGCAGGGCGCGCTCAGTAGGTACTCGCAGGCCCCCTGGAAGTCAAATCGCTTCCCATCCAGGGTGATGTAATGGGGATCACCCCACGCCTGGCACTCAGCTGTGCTGATGGGGTGACAGCCGTGCTGGCCCGAGGGCAGAAGGGCACACTCTTCACCCAGCCCACAGCTGGCAGCTGTGCAGACCAGAGAGCCACCCGCAGGCCCACAGCGGCACCGCCGGGAGCAGGTGCCGTCGGCCCAGAACTCGCTGCCTGCTTCGTGGTAGGTGCCGTTGGCCCAGCAGCCGCAGCCCCCATCCAGGGGCACACAGCGGTCAACGCTCAACACGAAGCCCGCATCGCACTGGCAGCCTTCAGCGCAAGGACCTGTACATGGGTCTGGCGTTGTAGGGGGCGCAGGGGACGGGCAGCTGGCTGGGCAGGGTGGGCCACAGAGCTCGTAGTGGCTGTTGTCAGGACAGGGGATGGCTGTGGGCGGAAGAAGGAGAAGGAGAGAAGGGTGTCAGGGAGAGGGGGTCTGGGCACAGAGCAAGACAGACAGACACACTCGGAGGGGGGATGGGGGTGCAGAAAGGGAGCTTGATTCAGATAAAGAGAAACAGAGAGAAACTCAAAAATAGACCAGGGCCTGGACCAGGCATGGAAGACACCAAAAACGAAAGAAAAGGGAGAGACCGAGAGAGGGAGAGGTCAGACAGAGACACAGCAAGAGATACAGAGTCAGAGAAGACAGAGAGAGAGACCCAGACAGAGTCAGAGAGAGAGAGACAGACAGAACGAGACAGGGTGAGAGGGACAGAGACCCAGGCAGAGAGAGATAAGAGAAGAAGGATGAAAGGGTGACAGAGAAGCACAAGACGCAGGAGAGACGTAGACAGCCAGCCAGACATAGGCAAACAAAGAGACCAACAGATGCAGATGTTCTGGAGTGAACCCAGGATCCCCCGCCCCCAGTACAGCTCCCCCAGCGCTCACCGCAGTCAGCCTGCTCCCGCCAGTCTTGGATGGTGATCCCGGCTGCCTGGCAGGCGGCAGCGTAGGCAGCCAGTGCCTGGCAAAGTATGTCGTGGGCCCCACCGCCCAGGCAGACATCCAAGACGCAGCCCTTGAAAAAGCTATCGGGTGGCACATGGGCATGGCAAGTGGCGAAGGGACCACCCGTGCCAGGGGCCAAGAGTCCGCAGAAGCCAGGGCCCCCGAACTCCTCCAGCCGGTCCTCGGGACACGTTGGGCAGGACCCCTGACATTCATCCCAGCACAGTGGGTCCCAGCCCGGGGCTCTCCAGCTGCCGCCCCAGACGGGGATGGAGGGAGCCAGTGTGCCGTTGGGGAAGACTTGGTCGTTGTTGGGATTTCTATCCATGTTCCCACACAGCCCACACACCGCGCCATGATAGCTGCTGGGCAGGGTCACCTCCACCCGCCAGTCCCAGTCATAGGTGACCCGCAGCCCGAAGTCTGCCACCAGCACGGCCTTGGATGCACCGTGGGTCACTGTCAGCCGGCCGCCGGCTGCTGAGACAGGCAGTGCTGTCAGCACACCGTTCACCTGGGGAGAAAGGGAGGCCAACAAGGGTCACTCCAGGGCGGAGGCACCATCTCTGGTCCCGTGTCCCCACCCATCCTGCTGGGACAGGAGCTGCCAAGGCCTTTCTCATGACCGATGGGTGTGCAGTCATTTGACAAACATGGGTGTTGACTGTTGTTGTTTTGTGCCGTCAAGTCGGACCCGACTCATAGCGACCCCTCCTTGGGTTTCCAAGGCAGTATCACTACGGAAGTAGATTGCCTCATCTTCCGAGGAGTGGCTGGTGGGTTTGAACCACCAGCCTTCTGGTTAGCAGTCAAGTGCCTTAGACACTACGCAACCAGAGCTCCCAGTGTTGACTCTAGTCCAGGCCTAAGTCAGGGGAGTGACATCACTTCTCTGTCTCTTTCTATCTGGGTCTAGCTTTCTTTGTGCCCCCCTCCTCCATTCTCTGAGTATGTCTCTCTCTCTTCCTGACTCTCTTGTTCCCTGGGACACTCTCTTTATCCAGATCCATCTCTGTTTCTGGGCCTTTCTGCATCTTTCACTTGCTGTCTCTCTGCCCCCCTTTTCTCTAGGGTTCTCTCTTATCTGAGCTCAGCTCTCTTGGTGGGTCTCATATCTCCCCTTTCTCTTTCTCTCTGACTTACTCTCTACATCTCTCCTCATTGCTTTTTCTGAGCTAGAAGTAGTTACTCCCCATGATGAGACTGGTCATCAGCTCTCTGGTGCAATGTACTGTGAGCAGCTGAGGAGCTGCCGTAGGGATGTGGTCTGCTTCCTGTACACAAAAAGGTGCTTTGCGAAAGGTCTCATCTGGATCCCACATTTGGCCGAGCCTTCATCTCAGTGCCTGCCATGCTGCCTGCTGATCTTAGGACTGTCTCTGGACTTGAACTAGTGTCCTGCCAGGTTGATTGGTAATCTTGGGACTATGCCATTTTATCTGCCAACCTTGGGTTTGTCATCCTCAGCAGTTAGAAGCTGCCTGAGCTAAGAGACGCCTCTACCTCCAGTGGGCTTGAAGCAAGGGGCAGAGCTGAAGCCCAAGGTCAAAGGGCTTTCACCCAGCCCCTAGAGCTGGCACTTTGAACTCAGACTTTTAGCTTCCTAAACAGAGAATAAATCCCTGTTTGTTACAGCCACACACTTGTATTTTCTGTTGGAGTTGAACTAGTGAACACTAGAAAACCAAACCCAGGTCTCTCCAACCTTTGGAGCTCTGGTGGTGTAGTGGATAAGGCACTTGACTGCTAACTGGAAAGTTAGTGGTTCAACCCGCCAGTGGCTCCTTGGAAGGAAGATGGGGTGATCTACTTCCCTAAAGATTTACAGCCTTGGAAATCCACTGGGAGTCGCTATGAGTCAGAAATGACTCGATGGCAGTGAGTTTGGTTTTTTGGTCTGCGAGCCTCTCCCACTCTCTCAGCATCACTGAGTGCCCACGCTGCTCCGTACCTTACCCTCTCCCACTGAGCTGCCCTCAGCCTGCATCTCCCTTTCCTGGGGCAGGAAGGGTGGCCCCCCTCTTTCTCTCTTCACCTTCCTGAATCTCTCTCTGTGTCCATGTCTCTGGGCTTCTCATTCATTCCTCCACTCACCAGATGTTTACCTGGGCCAGACCCTGGGCTGAGCTCTTTACAAATACCACGTTGCTATGGAGTAAACCTGCTACAATCCCCATTTCACAGATGAGGAAACTGAGGTCCACTAAGGGAAGTCCCTGAGATCATGCAACTCATAAGAAGGAGATGCTGGATTCAAATTCAAGTCTCTGTAAAGAAGTAAGTTTTTAAGTCATACGTGAAAACCCTTAGTACCGGGCTAGGCTTGATTTAATTCCCAGGAGAAGGGGGATGTTTTTGCTGTTGTTTTGGTGTTGTTATTGCTGTTGTTGTCCTTTTGTTTTGGGCCTACCCAGGAGTGGGGTTCAGGGGGCCATCCTGTTGGACATACCCGGACTTTGCCAATTTCACCCTTGTGGATGGAGATATTGGTGCCGAGGGCGGTCACAGTGACGAGCCTCACGTAGGATACAGCAGGATTGCCTCGGTTCTCATTCTTGGTAATGACGGAGAAGGGTGTCAGGCCCTGGGCATTGACACCCGGGCAGCCAACTGCTGCCAGCACGTAGCTGCAGGTGCCCTGGAAGTCGAAGTCCCGGCCATCGAAGGAGTGGTAGTGTGGGTCACCCCACAGCCAGCATGTGGCCTCGTAGTTGGGCACGCACACACCCTGGCCACCCTGCTCCCGGCATGTCTCCTGTGGCCGACATGTCACTCCATGGCACGGGTCTGGGGGCAGAAGAGAGAGGATCTTGAGGGACTTCTCAGAATAAGACCAGCTGGTCCCCAGCACCTCCCTGAGTCTATGCCAGGAACATTGTCTGAGTGTTACTGCAGGTGACACCCAGATTCCAAGATCCTTGTATCTGAGACCCAGGACCTATATTTTGCTGTGCCCAAGATCCAGGCCCTCAAGGTTCCTCCACGTCTGACATCAGGCCTATGTGGGCTTTGTCCAAGATCCAGGCGTCACGGGTCCCTGCATGTAAGACACAGGCTCTAGGATGCCTACACCTGAGACCCAGGCCTGCAGTTTGCTATGTCTGAGACCCAGACCTCAGAGTCCACTCGCTTATGATCCCAACCCTGGGGATCTAGGCCTGGGACCGACAGACACATGACCCAGACCATGCTTGAGGCCCTGACTCTGAGGTCCCTGTATCTAAGTCTCAAGGTTTACAGAGCCCTTTGGACAAGACCCCATGCTCAGGTGGCTGTGTCTGAGACCTTGGCCTTGGGGATTCATTTCTGTGTTCAAGATCCTGTCCCTAGCATCACTGCACCCCAACTTTTGGAATCCTTATGTCCAAGACCCCAGCCTTAAAACTTCCTTCTCTTTCCCACTGTGTCAATTACCAATTTATTACCTCAGCTCCAAAATCTAGCCCTGGTGTTAGTCTTTGTCAGTAGGGGGTGCTGGAGGGACAGTGCAGGAGGAAGGGGCTCCTCCTGCTTCCAGTGTGAACTCTTGCTCTTGCTGTGTGAGAGGGCCAGCGGCATGTGTGACATCCATTTAGTGAGTCCCACTTGCTCCAGCTGGCTTCCCAGCAAGTCATTCAGGTGCCCCAGCAGGATGTTCCCCAGTGAGTTTTGGGCAGCACTCCCATGGACGCTAGCTCCAACCCCCAAATCCAAACTTGTCATCCAGTGAATTCTGACTCTTGGCAACCCCATGTGTTACAGAGTAGAATTGCTTCATAGGGTTTTCTTGGCTGTAACCTCTGGGCTCCCCAGACCTTTCTTCCACAGTGCTGCTGGTGGGTTGCACCGCCAACCTTTGAGTCTAGCTCTAACCTGTACAAACTTCCCTGCCATCCAGTGGGTCATAGCCACACCCTTTCCAGTGAGGTCTGAATCTCAGCCTTGAGGTGGGGTCCCTGTTCCAAATTCGTCCATTCCTTTGGTGTTCTGCTTTAACCCTAGAAGTAGGGACTGCTCTCTAGGTCTGCTACCTCTGTGTTTATTTGTGTCCTCTTCACCACTCAAGCTAAGTGAGACAAACTTGTCTGTCGGTTTGTCCTACTGTGGTGATGTGTTGCTGTGAGTCTCGAGGCTGTGCCACTGTTATTTCAAACCCAGTAGGGTGCACTTGTTGCACAGGTATCAGCCCAGCTTGCAGAATGAGACAGAATAGGGGTCAGTATGAGTCGGAAGCAACTCGACGGCACCTAACAACAACAACTTTACCACTCGGTAGTAAATGCCCTATTACAAGTATAATACTTTATATTTACTCTGGTAGCATAGTGCTTGACTGCTAACCAGAAGGCTGGTCGTTCAAACCCACCAGCCACTCCTCAGAAGGAAGGTTGGGCAATCTACTTCCATAGTGATACCGCCTCAGAAACCCAAGGAGGGGTTGCTATGAGTTGGGTCTGACTCAACGGCAAACAACAATCACAACATTGAAATTACAGAGCCCCTGGGGAGTGCAGGTGGTTAACATGCTCAGTTGCTCACAAAAATGTTGGGGGTTCAAGTCTACCCAGAGGCTCCTCAGAAAAGAGGCCTAGTGATGTACTTTCAAAAAAATCACCATCAAAAACCCTAAGGAGCATAGTTCTACTCTGAAGTATGTGTTAGAGTCAACTCAATGGCAGGTGGTATTCACTGTGTGATCTCTATTTCCTTACTGGACCCTGACTGTGGACATCCCATCCCTTCAAGTCCCTCTCACCTTGGCTGTCAATCCTGAGGGTCTCGATCCCCATCCCTCTCAGTTCTTCAGGGCCAATTCCCTTAGCCCAGGGGAGTTCCCTGCCCTTAACCCTAAGAAAACAGCCCTAGGAGGTGATTCTGTGACCCAATTTAGTCTTAAGGGGGTCCAATGTCTGAGACTCTACCCCTAGAAAACAGATCCTTGTCTTGAGGGGCATCCTGCATCCAAGGTCCCAGCCTTGGTGGGGTCTCTCTGTCCTCTGCCCTGGAAGTCTCTGCCTGAGACCTCACAACTCTATGCTTTCTGATCCTGTCCTCGGGGATCCCAGACTATCCTGTTCCTTGGTGTTGGTGTCTGAAGCTCCAAGCCTAATCCCTCACACCTACTCACTCACTGCCATTATCACAGCGACCCCTCCTTGGGTTTCCAAGGTGGTATCACTACGGAAGTAGATTGCCCAATCTTCCTTCTGAGGAGTGGCTGGTGGGTTTGAACTGCGAGCCTTTGGATTAGCAGTCAAATGCCTTAGGCACTATGCCACCAGAGTGCTCAGCAAACCATGGCAAAGGTGGCTGCCTGTTTTTGTAAATAAAGTTTTATTAGAACACAGCCATACTCATTGAATTACATATTATTGTTGATGTCTGCTTTCATGCTACAATGGCAAAACTCTGTAGTTCTGATAGAGACTGTATGGTCCACAAGCCTTAAATATTTACTGAAAAATTTTGCCTAGCCTTGCCTTACACAAAGGGTCTCTGATATCTGTCCTTAGAAACCTAGCCCTGAGGGTCCCCACAGCCAAGATTCCATCCTTAGGGTCCTTGCCTCCTAGAATAGAGGGTCTCTACCTCTGGGAAACCCAGCCTGGGGGTCCTCAGGTCTGAGACCTCAGCTTTAGTCTTCTGTGCCCCCCACCATGAAGATCACACCACCTCTCGGCTCCAGAATCTGTTCCCAGATGCCCCAGCCCTAGCCCAGCACCTTTGGTGATACAGCTCAGGACGCCTTCCGAGGGCAGGCACACCTGCTCAGGCCTGCAGCTGTGGTCCTGGCACAACAGACCTTTACCCGCATGGCACACGCACTGCTGCCGGCAGTTGTCAATGAGCACCGTCTGCTCTGGCTGTGGAAACAGGGCATGGCCATCAGGGTGCCTTCCTTCACAGAGCTCACAGCCCAGCAAAGGACAGACTTTAGACAAACATCCACTCAGGTGAATGGAAAAGGCCTAACTGTGAGAGATCAAAAGAGGAAAGCAGAAGGAATTAGGTGTAGGAATAACTGAGAGACAGTGTCTCATTTTTGTGGTCAGGTGTGGCCTGAGGTAGGGACTTTTTCCCATGATCACATTTAGAAAAGTCCTTCCCACTGCCATGTGGAAGCTGGACTAGAGGAAGCAAAACTGGGGGCTGACAACCCACCTTCAACTGCTGTACACAAACAGCCAACCAAGAACTATGCACACATTGTCATCCTCTATCACATCCACCAGGAGACAGGTGGTGAGTGCCTAAGTGCTGCCAAACTAGTGGACAGAGTAGCGCACCGGCCCCTATCACTTGGATGTATCAAAACAAAATAAAGCAAAAAACCTGGGCAAAACACAGCAATATACAACCACTAATTAAATACAAA